CAACGTACAAACCCTAAATCCTAAACCCTAAACCCTAAACCCTAGAGGGGAAGAGGATTGTGGCTAGCCGACGTAGAAGGTATAAACCCTAAACCCTAAACCCTTAATGTTGTACGAGCAACGCCGAACAAGCAACTATTATTAACAATACACCCCAAGCAGAAAAAACCCTAAACCCTAAACCCTTGTCGGGGCATTAAATACTAAACCCTAATCGGCATAAACCTAAACCCTACACTATAACCCCCAGTCGTAACCCTAAACCCTAAACCGTAAACCCTAAACACTAATCATAATCTTAAACCCTAAACCCTGTAATCTAAATACTTCTTTCGAGCTGTATGCGACTTCGCAAACCCTAAATCCTTATAAACCCTAAACCCTAAACCCTAAACCCTCTCCGCCCCTGCGCATTAACCCCTTCAAACAGCTGGACAAATGCAGTTAGGGTTTTGACTTGGGGAAACACCCGTTTAGGGTTTAGAGCTAGGGTTTAGGGTTTAGGGTTTAGGGCTTGCTGCTCGTGCTGCAGGACTCTACCGCGAAGAGGAAGGGTTTAGCTATCGGCTTTTTAAACGCAGACCCTTAGCGCCTCCCCCAACCAAACTGCAGCCGGAGCAGCAGCAGCAGCAGCAGCAGCAGCAGCAGCAGCAGCAGCAGCAGGATCTGGAGCTCTACCCTACGAGTTGCTGCTTCAGCGCCTGCCACCGAATGCGCATTGCTGTTCACAAACTCATGGGCACGCGTTGGTGTCAAGAGTAAACCCTAAACCCTAAACCCTAAACCCTAGTTCCTCTTCTTTGCGCTGTCTTCACATATTCGCTGACCTGGAGGGTATAGGGGGTTATAAGGGTTTACGACTTCTAGGGTTTGGGGTTTTAGGGTGTAAAGCTGTTTTAGGGTTTAGGATTTAGAAAGGGCTTTAAGTCTATGGTTTACCTTTTAGGGTTTAGGGTTTAGGGTTTAGGTTTGAGGGCATACCTTGTACGGCTTGGGGTTTAGGGTATTGTATTGATGGGCTTTCAGGGTTTAGGGTTTAAGGTTTAAGATTAAACGATAAGGGTTGAGGGTTCGGGGTTTAGGGTTTAAGGCTAAACGATAAGGGTTTAGGGTTTAGGGTTTAGGGTTTAGGGTTTGTGTATAGGCGAATGGAGAGCCCTGACCCGAAGGAGCAGCTAGTAGTAGAGATGTGGTGCTCTCGTAAGAACACGCCTAAGGAAGTGCTGCAGCATGCATTGTTAGAGATAGCAGCAGCAGCAGCAGCAGCGCAGCAGCAGCTGAATGTAAACAACAGCTTCATAGAAGAAGAACAAACCCTCAGAGGTATTGTTTTCATTATCAAATATACACCCCAAAACCCTAAACCCTTAACCCTAAACCCTAAGCACAATAAGCGTAAACCCTAATTATGATACACCCTCAGTATACACACTCGTTCTAAACCCTAATTATAATTATAAACCCTAATTATAAACCCTCTCAAAAAACCCTCAGAAAGGAGGTCTAATAAACCCTAATAATAAACCCTAATAAGCCCTAAACCCTAATAAACCCTAATCATTAACTATCCCCGATCCCTGCATCCACCCCTCTTGCCTAGGCTCTGTCTTCGTTGTCGTTCTTTAGGGTTTAGGGTTTAGGGTTTAGGGTTTAGGGTTTGTGCGCAGCGGGGTGGGAGAAGATATCTCAGCACAAAGAAGATGAGAGGCAGCAGCAACTGCAAGGAGGGCCTCCTCTGTTTGTTTTAGGGTTTAGAGGTGATATCAAACCAGCAAACCCTAGCGAAGCTTTAAAACCCTCATTTCCTATTACTGCTCCTCCCGTAAACCCTCACAAACCCTAAACCCTCATAAACCCTAAACCCTCGCAAACCCTAAACCCTTCATATTTTTTTAGCCACAAACCCTAAACCCTCACAAACCCTACACCCTTATAAACCATCGCCAGCTCAGCCTTGAGGCTGTCTTAAACCCTGCCTCTTCACAAACCCTAAACCCTCGGCCTTTCCCTTGGCGAACCCTTCTAAACCCTAATAAACCCTTCTAAACCCTTCTAAACCCTTCTAAACCCTAATAACCCCTTCTAAACCCTCAGCTACACCCTAATTATGCTTTTTGCCTCAGGCTCCCGAGCTAGGCCCGGAAGACTGGCTTCGGCAGCAACTGCAGCAGCAGCAGCAGCAGCAGGAACAGCAGGTGATGCAGCACGCGCAGCAGCATCAGCAACCCCAGAAGCAGGAAGAGCAGCAGCAAGACGACGGGCAGCAGCAAGAACAGCAGCAGGAGCTGCAGCAGGAGCTGCAGCAGGAGCAGCAGCAGGAGCTGCAGCAGGAGCAGCAGCAGGAGCTGCAGCAGGAGCTGCAGCAGGAGCTGCAGCAGGAGCTGCAGCAAGAAGAAGCACCAGGAAGCCCTGACGATGTCTTGCTGCAGGATTTGTCTTTGCCTCCGAAGGCCCTAGAAGGCTTACACCAGGTACACCCTTGCTGCTGCTGCTGCTGCTGCTGCTGCTGCTGCTTTTTCTGCTGCTGCTGCTGCTGCTTTTTCTGCTGCTGCTGCAGTAATGGTGCTCGTGTCGCTGCTTTCGCCGCCTCTTGCGTTGCTGCTTTTGCTGCTGCTGCTTTTGCTGCTGCTGCTTCTGCTGCAGTGTTGCCTCTTCGTGCGCTACCATATTCTATGCTGCTGTTGCTGCTGCTGCTGCTGTTGCTGCTGCTGCTGCAGTGCGAAGTTCGTACACTTGGAGACGTGAGTCTGTTTTCAATGAAGCAGCTGCTGCGGATCCCAGGTGTAACTGCAGCAGCAGCAACGCTGCTGCAGCAGCTGCTGCAGCACCGCTACGACAGGGAGTTAGCCCCCGACTAAACCCTAAACCCTAAACCCTAAACCCTAAACCCTTAAATACGTAGAATAAATAAAGGGTTTACGGTTTCAAACAAACTCCCTCATGTATAAAGGTCCAACACGCACGAAACCCTAAACCCTAACAGATTAGGGTTTAGGGTTTAGGGTTTAGGACGCTCCGCCAAGAAGCCAAGAGACAAAACAAACGGTTTGATCTAAAGCCTGATCTTCCCTCTAGGGTTTAGGGTTTAGGGTTTAGGGTTTAGGGTTTTCTTCTATGGCGATCTTAGGCACGCGCATTTTACGCCCTACAGGGCAGTACTGCCGGGCGAGACAAACAGAGCACTGCAGGCGCACACCAAACCCTAAACCCTAAACCCTAAACCCTAAACCCTAGTTATTATTAAACCCTAAACCCCAGATATTAAACGCCAAACCCTAAACCCTAGGTATTAAACCCTAAACCCTGATCTCCTAGGAATAAACCCTAACTTCATCAGCAGCAAAACCCTGCTGATATTCAGGCAGCAACTGGCTTGGAGTGTACAGTGAGGGTTTAGGGTTTAGGGTTTAGGCTCAAATATATATGGTTGTGCTTGCAGTTTATTATTAGGGTTTAGGGTTTGCACTGGAGTCCTAGCGAGGGATTCATTTCAAAAGAAGGGTTTATTTAGCATTAGGGTTTACAGGAGGGCTTCAGCTATGCTTTAGGGTTTAGGGTTTAGGGTTTAGGGTTTACCGCAGGGTTTACAGGTTTGCATATCTGCTGCCCGAAGCCAACCAGCAACAGATTAACGTCTTCCCAGTGCTTCCTGAGCAAACCCTAAACCCTAAACCCTAAACCCTAAGCCAAAACTGAAGAAACAGGATAGGGTAAGACCCCTGCACAGAGTCTAAACCAGCTTCAGCTAGGGTTTAGGGTTTAGGGTTTAGGCTATAGCGAACCTGGGAAGGCAATCTTCAAGGGCTATTTCGGTTTCCTGTGGGGTTTTCGTCTTCACCCACCCAAGCCTGCAGCAAACCCTAAACCCTAAACCCTAAAACCTAGAGCTCATACGACAATAAAATCCCAAACAAGGGTTTACCCTGCCGCATGTCCTGGTGTTTTCAAGGGTTTAGGGTTTAGGGTTTACGGTGGGAGAGAACGGCTCTTAATTAGGGTAACGCCAAATTAGGGTTTAGGGTTTGGCTATAGCACATTAGGGTTTAGGGTTTACTGAGAATTGAGGGTTTTTAGGGTTTACCTGTTGCTGATGCGGTGTACGTGCACATCCACTGCAATCCCATGGAAAGAATTCCAGGCCTAAGAAGCCAAACCCTAAACCCTAAACCCTAAACCCTAAACCCTTGAGTGTAGTAAGAGGGTTTGTCTTCTGGGGCCGAGGTGATGTCAGTACGACTCTCTTACGTTCTAAACCCTAAACCCTCAAAAAGGGTTTAAGGTTTGTATCGTGCATGCGTCACGAAATCAAGCTGGTAGCCGATCCCCTTCCCTAGGGTTTAGGGTTTAGGGTTTAGGGTTTAGGGTTTAGGGTTTTGGGGTGTACGTACAGCATGCATAACGATATTAGCCATCTTTCTTCCAACTCCTCTCAACTGCATCAAATCGTCGAGGGTTTGAGGCACCTCTCCTTTATGTTTTTTAATTAGTATCTCAGCTGCTTCTTTTAAGAAGGTTGTCTTGTTATTATGAAACCCAACACCAAATAACAAGCCCCTCAGCTTCTCTGCACACCCACAAACCCTAAACCCTAAACCCTAAACCCTCAGCCCCAAGAAGCAGTACATTACACACGCTATCTAGGGTTTACGGTTTACAAAACCCTAGGGTTTTCGTTTAAGGGTTTACAAGTAGCGTTATTAGGGTTTAGGTTTGAAGGCTGTTTACAAGGCGCAGCTCCCTAAGGGTTCCTAGGGTTTCAAGCATTAGGGTTTAGGGTTTAGGGTTTAGGGTTTACCAGGGTCGCAGGCAGCTATAGCATAAGGGTTTAAGAGCCCATTCTCTCGAAGTCTGTTGACGCATGCATGCGTTTGCTCGTCTTTAGTTTGGCTAGACAGCATCACCGCAACTAATACAGCAAACCGCTGCACGCAAACCCTAAACCCTAAACCCTAAACCCTAAACCCTAACCCTAAACCCTAAACCCTAAACCCTAAACCCTAGGCCTGGTAGGTTGAAACACGCTAAAGGCACCCGCTGGAACCGCCTTGTGGGAAACCCTCAAGCTCAGGAGTTAATTCCACACACATAAACCCTAAACCCTAAACCCTAAACCCTAAACCCTAAATCCTGTGGAGTAAAGGTTGTAAGACTTATTCAACTCTCTTGCGGTTTAGGGTTTACGTCCTTGGGTTTCTACACTTTCTACCTCGTCTGCCCCCATTTAGGGTTTAGGGTTTATAGATTAGGGTTTAGGGTTTAGGGTTTAGGGTTTAGGGTTTCACCCTTTCTTTTTCGTCTTTGCCTGTCTGCGCCTCCACGCCCATCGAGTCCACCGGCGCGTCGCGCTGCAACACCCCGCATCAAACCCTAGGGTTTAGGGTTTAGGGTTTAGGGTTTGCAAGTGAGAAGCACCCCTGCAACACCACTTCCGGCCTTACACACAGCAGACGCCGAGAAATACAAGTCGAGGGTTTAGGGTTTAGGGTTTAGGGTTTAGGGTTTACTTTTTCTCGCATTTTGCAGATCGCTTCCCAAACTTTATCAAAGTTCTCAGGCGGGGGTTTTGTGGGGTTTGTGTTGCAGCAGCTGCTGCTGCTCTTGCTGCTGCTCTTGCTGCTGCTGCTGCTGCTGCTGCTGCTGCTGCGGCTGCGGCCTTTAGGTTTGCCGATAGGAACTCGTTGCGGCTCTTGCTGCAGTTCACTGCATTCTTCGTCTCCCTCTGCTGCTGCTGCTGCTGTTGCTGTTGCTGCTGCTGCTGTTGCTGCTGCTGCTGTTGCTGCTGCTGCTGTTGCTGCTGCTGCTGTTGCTGCTGCTGCTTCTGCCTTTTCTTCCTTGGAAGTGGTTTTCATGGTGGCTTCCTGCGGCTCCGACTTGCAGCTCTTTGCTGCTGCTGCTGCTCCTGCTGCTGCTGCCTCTGCGCTTTGCTGCTGCTGCAGCGGGCCTGCACTACCGCGCCGCTTCGCCCTGAGGTCTCGTTCTTGCTGCTGCTGCTGCTGCTGCTGCTTCTGCTGCTGCTGCTGTTCTTCCTTCACAAGAGTTTTTTCTCTCTTGACTTCAACTCTATCAGTGTGGCTGCTGCTTCTGCTGCTCTTCTTGTCGCTGCTGCTGCTGCCATTTTTATTACTGTTGCTGCCGTTGCTGCTGCTGCTGCTGCTGCTGCTGCTGCAGGGGGTTTGGCGTTTGCGGCCCCTCGGAGGCGGCAGCGGCGAAGAAGGGAAGCAAAAAGCATCGAAGCTATTCAGCTGCGGCTCCATTGTGCTGCTGCTGCTGCTGCTGCTGTTGCTGCTGCTGCTGCTGCTGTCGCTGCTGCGGTGGGAGAGGGTTTCTCCGGTGGTGGTGCCGCTGCTGCTACTCTTGCTGCTGCTGCTGCTGCTGCTGCTGCTGCTGCTGCGTTTGCTGCTGCTGCAGATGTTGTGTATCCTTGAAGGGGCAACAGGCTGCTGCAGCTGCACAGTGCAGGGTGCTGTTGTCTGAGAAGCAGCAGCAGCAGCAGCAGCAGCAGCAGCAGATATTCGAGGTGGCGCAAGACGCCAGCCAGCAGCACCCCTAAGCAGCAGCAGCAGCAGCAGAACCAGCAGCAGCTGCAGCTGCTGCACCTGCAGCAGCGGCAAGGGAGGGCGAAGCAGCAGCAACGGCTGCAAGTTTTTCTGTGTTGCAGCAGCAGCTGCTGCTGTTGCTGCTGCTGCTGCTGTTGTTGTTGTTCTTGCTGCTGCTGTTGCTGCTGCTGCTCTCGTCCCTGTATGTCTTAGCCTGAAAACCCAGAATGAATATTTAATTACATTAGAGATACTAGGGCTCACGAAGTAGGGTTTAGGGTTTAGGGTTTAGGGTTTGTGGAGGAGATGTGTCTGGAGGCAGGTCGCGCATAGATAGGAAGCGAGAGGGTTTAGGGTTTAGGGTTTAGGTTTCAGGGTTTAGGGTTTAGGGTTTAGGGTCTAGGGTTTAGGGTCTAGGGTTTAGGGTTTAGGGTTTAGGGTCAGGTAGTTAGGTTAAGGGTCTGTGGGGCCCGAACTCAATCGCGACGATAGCCGCTAGCTGCTGCTGCTGCTGCTGCTGCTGCTGCGGCTGCTGCTGCTGCTGCTGCTGCTGTTATTTAATTACATATTATTTTTATTTGTTTCTTTTTTATTTCATCACTGTTTTACGAGTCCGTATGCATAAGCCTCAAACCCTAAACCCTAAACCCTAAACCCTAAACCCTCAAACGATTCGCACACTGTCGGCGCAGGGTGTCTTCTATCTTCGGGGTAGCGTTCCCCGGTTTAGGGTTTAGGGTTTAGGGTTTAGGGTTTGGAGTTGTTGTGCGTGCGTGTGTGCAGAGGCGCCTTCTCAGGTTTAAGCTGGGCGTCAACCCTTACCCTAAACCCTAAACCCTAAACCCTAAACCCTAGCAGGCGCAATGCGTCCGCTACGGAGCCGCCCGCTGCTGCTGGCAGCAGCAGCAGCACTTTGCATCTTCGCGCTGGCGGTAGCTGATGAACAGCAGCAGCAGCAGCAACAGCTTCAGCAGCAGCAGCAACAGCCGCAGCAGCAGCCAGAGAAGCAGCAGCCAGAGCAGCAGCAGCAACAATCACAGTCGCAGCAGCAGCAGCAGCAACAACAGCTGGACCAGCCGCAGCAGCAGCACCTCGAGCAGCAACAGCAGCAACAGCCGCAGCAGCAGCAGCAGCCAGAGCAGCCGCAGCAACAACAGAAGCCGGAGCAGCAGCAACAGAAACCGGAGCAGCAGCAACAAATGCAGCAGCAGCAGCAGCAGCCGCATCAACACCTTCTGCCGCAGCAACCGCAGGAACAGCCGGGGCAGCAGCAGCAACCACAGCAGCAGCAGCAGCAGCAGCAGCAGCAGCAGCAGCAGGTGACTTGTGCTGCCCTGGAGAGGTCGCGCATTATCCCCGATGTCATCAAACTGCGCGAATGCAAAACCCTCCATTTACAGGTTTGCTGCTGCTGCTGTTGCCGCTGCTGCTGTTGCTGCTGCTGCTGTTGCTGCTGCTGTTGTTGCTGCTGCTGCTGTTTCTGCCGCTGCTGCTGCTGCTCTGCTTGCTGCTGCTCCACTTGCTGTTGCTGCCTCACGCCTTTCCGATGGTTTGAGAGCTAGGGTTGTCCGTTGGGATCTGTACATCATAAGATCTATGATTTAGGGTTTAGGGTTTAGGGTTTAGGGTTTAGGGTTTGTGAGTGTTTGATTGTGAGGGGGTGTTTAGGTTAAGGGTTTGCATGTAATATTTTGTGTTTTTGATTGAAACAATAGGCTGGACAATGATGTTTAGGGTTTATTTAGGGTTTAGGGTTTAGGGTTTAGGGTTTAGGGTTTAGGGTTTGTGGTTTGCAGCTGAGGGTTTCGTTTGAAGGGCAAGTCGCGGGCTGGGGCGCGGAGGTTCCCTTAGAGAAGACTGCGAAGCCTCCTCTCGTTGACATTTCGTCTAAACCCTCAACAAACACCAAATTCGTGCTCGTGCTAACTGATCCTGACGCCCCCTCCAGGTCTCTAGGGTTTAGGGTTTAGGGTTTAGGGTTTAGGGTTTGTGGTCTAGGGTTTGGGGTTTAGGGTTTAGGGTTTAGGGTTTAGGGTTTAGGGTTTAGGGTTTAGGGTTTAGGGTTTGGGGGGGTTTAGGTCTCTCGCCGCGGGGTTCCTCAGTTCGGTTCCAGTGTAGGGATTAGAGGGAAGGGTTTGGGGTTTAGGGTTTGGGGCTGCATGCATGTGTTTTCATAGAGATTACTAGTGTTTAGGGTTTAGGGTTTAGGGTTTAGGGTTTAGGGTTTGCGGTGCAGGGATGATCCGGTGTATCGCGAGTGGGCGCATTGGGTGGCGGTTAGTTCAACAAACCGCTTTGATGGGAACTCGGAGAGTCTACGTAAGGGTTTAGGGTTTAGGGTTTAGGGTTTAGGGTTTAGGGATTAGGGCTTGCGGATAAGGGTGCAGGGCTGTTAGGTACCGCTTAGAGATTAGGGTTTAGGGTTTGGGGTTTATGCCTTTGGAATTCGCGTTGCAAGGGTTAGGGTTTGTGAGTCAGGGTTTAGGGTTTAGAGTTTGCAGGGTTTAGGGTTTAAGGTTTGGATGATGCAGGGTTTAGGGTTTAGGGTTTAGGGTTTAGGGTTTAGGGTTTGTGTTCAGTCACGTATAGACCCCCGACGCCACCCAAGGGCAGCGGCCTCCACCGCTATGTGCTGCTGCTATTCGTAGCTTCCCTAGACCAGCAGCCGCAGCAGCAGCAGCAGCAGCAGCCGCAGCAGCAGGAGCAGCGTTTGCTGCTGCAGCAGCTACCAGGCAACAGCAGCAGAGCGAGATGGGGGGGCATCGGCAGAGCTATTGATTTTGCTGCAGCAAATAATCTGCAGCTAGCGGGAGTTCAGTGGTTTACTGCTCAGGCTGCAAACCCTAAACCCTAAACCCTAAACCCTAAACCCTAGGGTCTCACCTGGGGGTTTACAGAGCCAGGGAGGGCTCGCGCTGGCAAAAGTCAGCGTACGCACAGGTTCCCTCTAAACCCTAAACCCTAAACCCTAAAGTAGGGTTTAGGGTTTAGTCAAACCAAAGCGCTGACCCATGCTTGCACGCGCAACATTTGCTGCTGCTGCTGCAGCAAAATGCAGCAGCAGCAGCTGCTGCTGCTGCTGCAGGTAAAGGTGCATTGCTTTGTTAATGCAGGAGACGAAATAAAAAGCAATATTTTGTTATTTTATATTTCTTGTCTTAGTTGTAGGGTTTAGGGTTTAGGGTTTGGATGATGCAGGGTTTAACAACGCTTTAGGGTTTAGGGTTTAGGGTTTAGGGTTTAGGGTTTGTAGTAGTTTCCCTCGTTAACCCAAAACCCTGCCAGGCCGAAACCCTAAACCCTAAACCATCAGTTCTAGAGCCTAACAGGGGGCCGACTCTAAACCCTAAACCCTCACTGCAAAGCGCCACTAAACCCTAAACCCTAAACCCTAATTAGGCATCATTACAACAGGAGCGGGTTTGGCGTGGAAGGCGCAGGATTTAGGGTTTAGGGTTTAGGGTTTAGGGTTTGGGGTTTAGCGCTTAGGGTTGTCTAGGGTTTGAGTTTTGTCGTTGTGGTGTTAGAGCTTAGGGTTTAGGGTTTAGGGTTTGTACTTGAGCCTTCCGAATTCAGCTTTTCGTGTTATTCGTTTAGGGTTTAGGGTTTAGGGTTTAGCATTTAGGGTTTATAGTGTAGGGTATTCGGTCTAGGGTTTAGGGTTTAGAGCGGAGAACTTGCTGGCTAGTGGTCTACACCTCAGGGTGTGTAATTTAATGAGCCCCTTCTGGTGTTTGGGTTTTAGGGTTTAGGGTTTAGGGTTTAGGGTTTAGGGCTTAAGGGTTTAGGGTTTAGGGTTTAGGGTTTTTGCGTTCGTGGGCTCGGCGAGCAACAGCCCCAAAGCAGGAGTCTTCCTGCTCCTACGCTATTTAATTTCAGTTAATATTTAATTATAAACAATATTTTTTACCTTTGGTTTTAGTTTTGAGGGTTTAGGGTTTAGGGTTTAGGGTCTAGGGTCTAGGGTTTAGGGTTTAGGGGGTTGCCGACGGCGCGCAAGACAACGAGCTCCGCGGTTTTTGTTGAATGGTTGAGGGTTTAGTGTTTACAGTTGAGTATAAAACCTACTGTTTAGGGTTTAGGGTTTAGGGTTTGCCGTGTAGGGTCTAGGGTTTAGGGTTTGTGATGCACACACTTACGCCGACCCACTCATCTGCAGCGAATCCTGCAGCAACAGCAGCAGCTGCAGCAGCAGCTGCAGGAAGGCCACTGAGCTAGCAGCAGCAACAGCAACAACTGCAGCAGCAACAACACCAACGGCAGCAGCAACAGCAGCAGATGCAGCAGCAGCAGAAATCGCCGCTGCACCTGCAGCGGAGGCTGCTGCTCCTGCTGCAGCTGCTGCTGGCTGCCTTCCTTTTTGCTGCAGCAGCAGCAGCAGCAGATGCAGCAGGAAATGCAGCTAGCTGTGCTTCTTACGGCAAGCTGTCTACACACCTCTCATCACTCGCTAGCAGCAGCAAGACCTGCTGCAACAGCAACAGCAGCAGCAGCAGCAGCAGCAGCAGCAGCAGCAAGTTCTGCAGCAGCAAGCGCTTCGTTTTTGTTTTGTATGATGTGCGGAATGGAGAGGGTTTTAATGTAGGCAAACCCTTAAACCCTAAACCCTAAACCCTAAACCCTAATCGCTTAGCACTTCTTCAGCTCCCTACACTATGGTGACGTTGCGTTTACTTTTTGCTGCTGTTTCTGCTGCTGCTGCTGTTTCTGCTGCTGCTGCTGTTTCTGCTGCTGCTGCTGCTGCTTCTGCTGCTGCTGCAGCTGCAGAAGGAGGTGGTGGTTCGCGTGGCCCTCTCGCTGCAGCGGCTGAACCTGGAGCAGCAGCAGCAGCAGCAGCAGCAGCAGCAGGTGTACGTGCTCGTGCTGCCTCCCTGGTGTTTGCTGCAGCACTGGAAGCTGCAGGGCCCTCAACGGGTTAGGTGGGGAGAGCTGCTGCTGCTGCAGCAGCTGCAGCAGCTGCTGCCGGTGGTAGAGTATGATGATTTTGCTGCTCTGCATCAGCAACAAAAGCAGCAGGTATGCCGCTGCTGCTGCTGCTGCTGCTTAAGCTGCTGCTGCTGCCCGCTGCGGCTGCTGCTGCAGCTGCTTCTCCCCCTCCAAGTGTTGCTGTTGTTGTAGCTGCTGCTGCTGTTGCTGTTGCTTCTGCTGTTGCTGCTGTTGTTGCAGGTGGACTCAGTAATGTTGCTGCAATACAATGCAGCAGCAGCAGGAGCAGCAGCAGCAGCAGCTGGAGGTCAGCCTTGTGCTGTCGCTGCTGCTGCTGCTGCATGCAGCGCCTTTGGCCTCATCGCGGAGCAGCAGCGAACCGCTCGCCAGGTGTACATGCAGCAGCAGCGGCAACTGCAGCAGCAGCGGCAACTGCAGCAGCAGCAGCAGCAGCAGCAGCAGCAGCAGCAAACTGATTCGTTATTCTTTTGGCTGGGGGGTTATTGCAATCCATTGAGAGCGGAAAGAGCTGTGAGTTGCTTCCTCGAGGGTTTAGTGCTGTCTAGGGTCTAGGGTCTAGGGTTTAGGGTTTAGGGTTTAGGGTTTAGGGTTTAGGGTTTGTGCAGGTTTGCATCGAATCGGCCCTTCCCACGCCCTGGACTCTGTCGCGGTGTCTGCCTGCTGCTGCAGCGGAAGATGAAATCATCTTCTTAAAGGCAAGGGTTTAGGGTTTAGGGTTTAGGGTTTAGGGTGTGTAAGCTTTTAGGGTTGAGGGTTTCGGGTTAATGATGGTTTAGGGTTTAGGGTTTGTGGCTAAGTGCTTAGGGTTTACAATGTAGGCCTACAGGTTTAGGGTTTAGGGTTTTGTGGCTAAGTGTTTAGGGTTTAGGATGTAGGCCTACAGGTTTAGGGTTTAGGGTTTAGGGTTTAGGGTTTGTGCTCAGCATGCAGACTCAATTCTGCCTCCATTTCCTGATGAAGCAGAGGATTGGGGTTTAGGGTTTGGGGTTTACGTACACCCGAAACTACAGGCCGTAGGAGATGCCTTCCTCAGCTACATGCGCAGCAGCAGCAGCAGCAGCAGCAGCAGCAGCAGCAACCTCGGAGGCAAGTGCAGCAGCAGCAGCACCAACAGCAGCTCCTGCAGCAGCAGCAGCAGCAGCAGCAGCAGTGACGGCACTTCTCCGGTAGCTGCAGCATTACCAGCATCATCAACAGCAGCAGCAGAACCAGCAGCAGCAGCAGCAGCAGCAGCAGCAGCAGCAGCATTTCCTTTCATCTCATTGCACTGGAGGCGCTCTGATTTCATAAGAATCGGATTAGCAGCAGATTCTGCTGCAGCAGCAAAAGTGCTGCTGCAGCTCGCAACCCGCATTCAAGCCCTTGCTGTAAACCCTAAACCCTAAACTCCCGCTCTTAACCCTAAACCCTAGACCCTAAACCCTAAACCCCCGGTGTAGACACTAAACCCTAAGGCTGCGGGCTCCACACTCAATGGAGCTGAAAGTGGTTCTCTTGCTGCTGCTGCTGCTGCTGCTGCTGCTGCTGCTGCTGCTGTTACTGCTGCTGGTGCTGCTGCTATTGCTGCTGCTGCTGCTGCTGCAGGTACTGGTCTGTACAGACGCAACGCCAGAAGAGCGCAAGGACCTATCAGCTAACTTTGCTGCAGCAGCAGCAGCAGCAGAAGCAACAGCAGCAGCAGCAGCAACAACAGCAACTCCGAAGGTGTACTTCTTCGATGTTGAAATCGCGCTGCATGCCCTCGCGAGGCAGCAGCAGCAGCAGCAGCAGCAGGAAGATGAGGAAGCTGTGCTGCAGCGGGTACTAGGCCGACGTCTGCTGCTGCTGCTGCGGCACCACCCAGGTGCAGCAGCACTTGCTGAGTGGGCTGCTGCTGCTGCTGCTGATGTGTTTATAGGCAGCAGCAGCAGCAGAGTCTCGCAGCAAATACGCAGCGAAAGATGCAGATGGGGGTTCCCTTTGTATTTATCTGCTGCTGACATCTGTCCTGCTGCTGCTGCTGCTGCTGCTGCTGCAGAGGGAAGGTCTGCTGCTGCAGTCGCAGCAGCGGCAGTAGCAGCAGCAGCAGCTGCTGCTGCTCCCACGGATGCAACAGCAACAAACACTGTACTATCACAGTCCTCATCATCAGCAGCAGCCGCAACGACCACAGCAGCAGCAGCAGCAGCAGCAGCAGCAGCAAAAGAGCTATATAAAGAACTACCCTTGTGCGCTGTGCGGCTGTCTCTGCTGCCGAAGCCCGCAACTCCAAGCCTTCTGGCTGCTTTGAAAGAGAAAAGAATTAAAAATATTTATTTTTAAACAATTAGGGTTTAGGGTTCAGGGTTTAGGGTTTAGGGTTTAGGCAGCCGTTCTAGGGTTTAGGGTTTAGTGTTGGGGGGGTGGGTAGGGAGCAGAGGGTTTGCAAACCCTAAACCCTAAACCCTAAACCCTAATTGAAATACGGATGCATTTAGCAAACGAATGCCTCGGTAAATTCTTATCCGCTTCAGCCTCCTTCTAGAGTCAAGAGTTTAGGGTTTAGGGTTTAGGGTTTAGGGTTTAAGGCTTAGGGTTTAGGGTTTAGGGTTTAGTGTCTGGGGGGAGTGCAGGAGTAGTTAGGCTCTTGTCTCAATACTATGAGCAGACTTCTATACACCTTCGTTTGTATTTCAAGGGTTTAGGGTTTAAAACTTAGAAATTAGGGTTTAGGGTCTAGGGTTTAGGGTTTAGGGTTTAGGGTTTAGGGATGGTGAGCCCGATGGGGCTTCGAGTGTTGCATGCAGCAGCAAAATATTTTGCTGCCGGAGACGGCAAACAAAAATAAATTACCCTTCTCTCCTTTCAGTATCAATTCTAGGGTTTAGGGTTTAGGGTTTAGGGTTTAGGGTTTAGGGTTTGGGGTTCAGTACCACCACGAGATGTAGCTGTTGCAAACTTTTCAGCTGCAGCAACACCAAGGGTTTTGCTGCTCTTTCAGTTACACCAGCAGCAGCTGCAGCAGGAACAGCAGCAGCCGCAGCAGCAGCAGCAGCCGCAGCAGTAGCAACAGCAGCAGCAGCAGCAAAAACAGCAGCAGCAGCAAAAACAGCAGCAGCAGCACAATGTCTTCAGCGAGGCCTGGCCCTCACGGGCTATCTCTGCACGATCCCCACACGGCAGCAGCAGCAGCAGCAGCAGCAGCAGCGACAAGAGAAGCAGCAGCACCTGCATTAAGCAGGCAATCCCTACTTGTGCACCGCAGCGACGCGCAGCAGCAGCAGCAGCAGCAGCAGCAGCAGCATCTCTTGAATTTCGTAGGGTCTCCGATCTCCTCAGCAAGCGAAAGTGCTGCTGGCTCGCCTATCCCTGGACAGCAGCTGCTGCTGCAGCAGCAGCAGCTGCAACAACAGCAGCAGCAGCAGCAGCAGCAGCAAGGCATCTATGAAGACTTTCCGCTGTTACCAGCTTCGCTTGAGGAGGCAGAAGCCCGCAGCAGCAGCAGCAGCAGCAGCAGCAACTTGCCGCGTGTTGCTGTCTACCCTCCAGAGAATGAACAATCAAACCATAAGCAGCAGCAGCAGCAGCAGCAGCAGCAGCAGCAGATGCCTCTATCTCCGTTGACCTCTCCAGACATCTCACTGCAGCCGCAGCAGCAGCAGCAGCAGCAGCTGACGTCTCCTTCTACGCCTCCTTTCTCCCCGTCTCTTGCTGCTGCACCTCCGCCTCGCCGGTGCACTGCAGCAGCAGCAGCAGCAGCAGCAGCAGGCGGGAAGCCTACGGGCTCGTCTTCTCTGTCTCCTTCCTACTGCAGCCCTCTGTCTGCTGCGTCTCCTGCTTCTCCTTTCATCAGCTACAGCAGCAGCAGCAGCAGCAGCAGTCGTGCAGCAGCAGCAGCAGCAGCAGCAGGACCCCCCCCTAGTGCTCTTGGTGGCAACGCAAATGTGTTGCGGCTCGGCAGCTGGCTGCTGCAGCACAGCAGCAAACTGCCTCAGCAGCTGCTGCAGCAGCAGATGGAGAACTTCCTGCTGCACTTCGACTTCGTTGCTGCTGCTGCTGCTGCTGGTGCCAGCAGCAGCAGCAGCAGCAGCAGCGGGAGTGAGGATATTGGGGTAGTCGTAGAGAGAGAAGTAATCGATGATGATGAAGGAGATTCTGCTGCTGCTGCTGCTGGCCCAGCAGCAGCAGCAGCAGCAACAGCAGCAGCAGCAGCAACAGGAGATGCTGCTGTCTTCACTTCGTTAATGCTAGACCTCCTGGCGCTGAGGGTTGGGGAAGGAGCAGCAACAGCAGCAGATTGTCTTGTTCATCATCTCAAGGCAGCGTAAACCCTAAACCCTAAACCCTAAACCCTAAACCCTAAACCCTTGCAATACGCGTCTTCTTCGTTCCTTCTTGTGTAAACTTCCAGGATCTAGCTGTACCACCTTTAATGTCTAGGGTTTACGGTTTAGGGTTTAGGGTTTAGGGTTTAGGGTTTAGGGTTTGTGTGCAGCTGCAAAGGGGAGCGCATGGACTGCAGCGGGGGCTCAGCAGCAGCTGCAGCGGAAGCAGCAGCAGACAACAGCAGCAGCAGCAGCAGCAGCGGGTGGCTGCGGGTTGGGAGGTTTGCCTTTCATAACCGCCGCGCACTCAAACAAAAACTGCGAGCGGTCTTGCAACTAGGAGGTAAGGGTTTAGGGTTTAGGGTTTAGGGTTTAGGGTTTAGGGTTTTCTTGAAGCTTGCTTCTTAGTAATTTGACTCTGTTTAGGGTTTAGGGTTTAGGATTGCCTTTATTGGGGTTTTAGTGCAGTCTACGTCGTTATAGGGCCAAGGGTTTAGGGTTTAGGGTTTAGGGTTTAGGGTTTAGGGTTTAGGGTTTAGGGTTTAGGGTTTAGGGTTTGCGCAGAGGAAGGCCAGGACCTTGAGGGGGAGGATTTGGAGTTGGTTTCGACAGTCTTGAGGTATCACCCGCGCGCTAAATTTAAAACTAAAGGTAAACCCTAAACCCTAAACCCTAAACCCTAAACCCTAAACCCTGAGAGCTAAACGGTATACCCTTGATGGAGAGTGCTGGGGCCAGTTGTTTGTGTTGAGTGCTAGGGCTAAGGGTTTAGGGTTTCTTGTTTATTGTCTACAATTAAGGATTTAGGGTTTAGGGTTTAGGGTTTAGGGTTTAGGGTTTAGGGTTTGTGGTTTGTGGTTTGTAGGGATGATAGGGATATATGTCGGAGCCCATCCAAACCCTCGTTTTCATTCGACTCGCACTTTTTTTGTTCGCCGACTGGAAGTTGCTGCTGCAGCATCTGCTGCAGCATCTGCAGCAGCAGCAGCAGCAGCAGCAGCAGAGCCAGCTAGCCAGCTAGCTAGCCGAAGCAAAGGAGACAAAGATGAAGACTTCAGCTACGTGCGGTGTGTCGGCAATATTTTGTCTTCAGACACAAAAGCAGTCCGCGCCATCTGTCTCTCTCTCCAGCAGGTCAGCTCCCTAGCTAGCTAGCTAGCTAGCTAGCTAGCTAGATAGATAGGTAGATAGATAGATAGATAGATAGATAGATAGATAGATTGGTAGCTAGATAGACAGATTGGTAGGTAGGTAGGTAGCTAGCTAGCTAGCTAGCTACCCGGATAGCTGGTTAGGGTTGATTCACTAGCTAGCTAGCTAGCTAACTAACTAGCTAGCTAAATCGCCAGCTAGCTAAATCACTAGCTAGCTAAATCGCTAGCTGGCTAACTAGCTACTCAGCTAGCTAACTCGCTGGCTACATAGCTAGCTAGCTAGCTAGCTAAATCGCTAGCTGCAGCATGCGTGTGGTTGTGTGTTGCTGCAGCTAGCTGCAGCATTTCCTAGTGCTGTCGGTTTTATTTATGACAATTTAAAGAGAGCGCTGCCACCCCCCAAACAAACTGCCGAAATGCATGCGGCGTTCGCAAAGTCGCTGCTGTGGTTGGCGCATAATATACCCCCTGTACACCCCAAACCCTAAACCCTAAACCCTAAACCACAAACCCTAAACCACAAACCCTAAACCACAAACCCTAAACCACAAACCCTAAACCCTAAACCACAAACCCTAAC